CCCCAAAACCCCAAAACCCCAAAACCCCAAAACCCCTGCTAGATTATTATATATTGATTTAAAAACAATATGATCACAAAGAGAGACATCACTATTGTAGGAGCTGTCAAAATACTTGGTAATTATTTACAGAATAGACCATACAGTAGTCCTTGGGGTTACCTTTTACCTGTTTAATCAGACATTTTTGTAGGAACCTCACCAGCTTTAATATAGACGGCCTTTTCTTGGGAGATAAGTTCGCAGCCCAAGACCTAGAATTCCTGATGAGCAATAAAATAAACAATGTCATAAATTGTTGTGGAGGACAAATAGATAATTTATGGGTAAATTTTGGTGTAAACTACCTTACTTTTAACTGGTCTCAGAAATGTACTGAGAGAATACTCGATCGTAATGATGTGGTAATGAAACAAATCTACCCTTATGTTGAGGAATGTGTCAGCAACTCCGAGAGCATCCTGATTCACTCTGTAACAGGGATGAATCGTTCAGTATTGGTTTTAGCAGCATATTTGATGAAATAAGTACCACTGGTGCCTCAGAAAATCACTTGAGTTTATAAAAGCAAGAAAGACAACTCTTGAGATTAAGAGTGATATTCTGGAACAACTAGTTAAATACGAATCTTTCTTACACAGCAAGGTTATTAAAGCCCCTTCTTTCAACTGGGATGAAAAGAGGTATTGGCATAAAGATATTACTCAAAAGTTGTCAACTGTTGATAACCTTGAAAATGAAGAATTTATGCTAAGGAATACCCATCTTAACTCTTTACCTGTTGTTCAGCTTCCTGAAAAAGTTGTACCTAGGACTCGGAATAAAGTTGTCAAATGGGCTGACAAAGGATTAGACATTAAGACCCAACTTGAAGAAGTACATGAGAAACAAAGGTATCGGAAAGCTAAGAGGATAAATCCAGTTACTGCTCATGTTGGAGTATCTTCAGGGGATCTTCGATCAGCGATCAAATTTCCAAGCTCTATGAAATCAGGTATGCACCTATTAGCCAAATATATAGATGGTTGAGACATTTAAAGGTAACTCTCAACAGTACCAGAAAGATGTATCAGAATCCATGACGATTCGCACATTTGAAGTCGAGGAAGATTCTAAAGGTAGCCACTTATCTTTAAAATTATAGAGAGTTCGGTCACATTTCCAAAAACGAATACTTCTAATGTTGCAAATACAGATGAAATTCTCCCTCTCCACGAAGTGATCAGTTTGACTACTTTACACGAATACAGTGATGGTTCTTCTAAGTGAGGCTTTGGGATTATTCTAGGGACTCTAAATTGCCAAATAATTCAGATGAGGATCCACCTAGGCACCAAAAGAAGGATCAAAGAGTCGAGACAGTAGAAAATGTTGATTTTTATCAAGTAAGTACCAGATAACCTTCAGAAGTTTCATCAGCCCCTGAGTCCAAAATTTAGTATGAAGACTAAAATTAGAGAAGAGGTGCAAAGTTTAGTCTCTAATTTCACAAACAAAGAAGGCAAAGATGCCTCCACCTCTAAAGGTACTTAATCAGCATAAACTTTTCTTCAGTTCAAGGTAGACACAAGAAGCAAGCTTCTGAGGGCTCTTTTCGGATAAAGGACCATAAGAGAAAGAACTTGAATCACAAAATGAGAAGGAGCAAACAATCTCGAGGCTTGACTAATAGCCATGATTTTCAGAGTAATCTCAATTTCAGCGACCATGAGAAATCGCCAAATCAGAACAAAGGTATTTCAGGGTGTTATTTTAGGTGTGAAATATACGCCAAAAAGTCATGGTGCGACTAAATACCAACGTAAGGGTTCTATTGACCTGTAGAGAGCAAAGGGACTATTATATTCAATCCGACCATTATCAACTCCATTACAGTAAGTTCTGTAATACGAGATGTAGATAGGGCTCATGTCAAATGGAAGTCCTCCAATTAATATCTCAAGCGGTAAGCATCGGTTTGACCAGTAGAGAATAGGCAAGACAACAGTAAAGTTAGTACACAACTGGGCACAAGCAGATTATAAGAAAAACCAGACTGAAAAACCGAAGAGTGCCATCTACACGAACAGATGGAGATGATCATTTGATGCCTTCTTCAAGGATGCAATCATTAGTTAGACCTTCGAACAGCTTGAGGAGAACCAGAAGGGAGCTCGACAGTAACTTGATCTTAGTTTTAGGGAGAGACTCTTTCAAAAATGATAAAGCTTCACAGCTTGAATCGAGTAGCAAAGAAGATTCCAAGTTAGTAAATTTCTCAAAATAGAACTAAAATAATCAAGAGTAAGCGGCAGCACTCTTTGAACTCTCTGAATACCAAAAATTACAGGGCTAAAGCTAATAATCCGCCAGTTCAGAATAGTCATGGAAATGGAAGCAGCTGGTTCAATTGTATGTGAGGCATTAATCCTTGTAGATCAGCCTAAAAGTCAGGATAAGTTGGCCAGTACTAAGTCTACCAAAAATAGCATGATTTTCAGGAGAAATTGCATCGGCTCTAAATACAAACCCAAACTTAATTTTGATAGCCAAGGAAGTGAGAAAGTGTGACAATCTATAGGCGCCAGCCAAAAGAGGGTTAATAAACCAAGAATTAGTCCAGAAACTCAATTTTCCAGATGGAAAAATAATATCGGAGAAAGTAATACAGGTAGAAGCACTCACAATTCGGTTACTAATATGATTGGAGCCAAAAATCGGCCAACGAGTGCTTCGCATTACAAAAGAAACTTCTCAAATAGATCGAGAGAGAAACCTGAAGATACTAATAGAAGGATTCTGAATGAGGCTCATAAAAGGATTTTATTACGAAAGCCCGGAAGCGCTAGAGTCAAAGACACCAGATAGTAAGTTTTTATACTTAATGCTCCCTCCAGATGCCCAAGAGCTTAACCTAACTTCCAATTCATCAGTAGCAAGGGCTTCACCCAAGAATTTATTTCAGCAATAGATATTTCTTTTGGGGTTTTGGGGTTTTGGGGTTTTGGGGTTTTGGGG